TGGCTTCCGACTCTCCGACTTCGCCTTGGGTAATTGCAGAGTTTATAAACTTCTCGCTTTTGTCTTTGTTTTTGTTTTTTTTGCTTTTTCAGGCCACTACGTCTTTGGTTCTGTTACTGGGTGGTTTTGTTTGCTTGATCTTTTTGTTTTGGGGTCTTTGTTCGGGGGCTGTAAATTTTCTCTTTTTTTTTTTTTTTTCTTTCTTTTTTTTTTTTGTCTCCTTTTTTTTTTCGTTTTCTTTCTATTATTCTCTCTTTCTCTCTCTCTCTCTCTCTCTTCTCTCTCTCTCTCTCTCTTCTCTCTCTCTCTCTCTCTCTCTCTCTCTCTCTCTCTCTCTCTTCTCTCTCTCTCTCCTCTCTCTCTCTCTCTCCTCTCTCTCTCTCGCTCTCTCTCTCTCTCTCTCTCTCTCTCTCTCTCTCTCTCTCTCTCTCTCTCTCTCTCTCTCTCTCTCTCTCTCTCTCTCTCTCTCTCTCTCTCTCTCTCTCTCTCTCTCTCTCTCTCTCTCTCACTATCATTTTTTCTTTTTTCTCTCTCTCTCGTTCTCAATCTGTCCATCTATACCTATCGCTTGGTCTCTATCTGTCTATCTGGATAACCATCTTTACCTACCTCTTTCTCTCTGTTTATCTATTTGACTATCCATCTCTATCCTCTTTATCTTTATTTATCTGGCTACCCATCTGTCTCTCTTTATCTCTAGCAAGCTAGCTATTGATATATCTATCTATTTAGCTCGTATTTATTCCCCAGCTTCGTTACTTTGTAATTCCATCATGTCCACTGGTCTTTGTGATTTTCGTGTTGATTTTGCAATTAAATCAGCAAATGTAATTTCGACTGATTGCCAGTAATCAAACTTAAAGCGGAACCGCATAATCACTTTTCATATGATTGGTTGTTCATGGAGAGTGTCACTCGCATAAGGTGAACATATCAACATATATAGATTTTTGCTGTATTTTCTCTTTTTCTTTTCTTTTTCTTAAAATATCTTCTCTTTCCTTCTTCATAATTCGTATCTTGCGTCTTTTCATTGGTAGGTTGTGAATTTCAAATTTTTCATAAATGTGATACCCTGTACCGCCTCCTATAACCATGTATATATTTGTTTTTCATCGTCGTACCATGTTAACGGGTCTCCTTTCTACCCCCTTCTACCTGTCATCCTCTGTCACCCCGACTTCCCATACCCCCTTATCCTCTTTTCTTTCATCCTCGCATTCCTTTCCTTTATTCATATCACCCTAATCCACAGTCCTTAATCCTCCCCCTATTATCCTATCCTACCGTTCCCTCTTATAAGCTTACTACTCCTTTTCCCACACCCTATCATCTTTTATCCCTACCCTTCTCTAGTAACATTCTGTCATGCTTCTTCCCCTACTTTCATAATTACTCCTCCCTTTCGTCTTCTTTATCTAGTCCCTTCCTTTCTCCTCTCAACTTAATTATCCCCCGACTTACTTCTTGTTAACCCCTCTTCTTCTTCTTCTCCTTCTTCTTCTTCTTCTTCTTCTTCTTCTTCTTCTTCTTCTTCTTCTTCTTCTTCTTCTTCTCTTCCTCTCCTTCCTCCTCCTCCCGCTTCCCCTTCCTCCTCCTTCTCACTTCCCTCTCCCTCCTTCCTCCCTCCTAACTTCTCCACCTCCTATCTCCTCCCTATTCCCCTCTCTCGATCCTCTCTCCCTACTAACCTCTCTCTCTCTCCTCTCCCTCCATTCCCCTCACAGGAGCGCTTGCATCACTGCTGGATGACATAATTTACGAAAGCGGGGAAATTGAGGATTCTGAGGAGAGTAGCATCGAAGATCTTAACGAACGGCTGTACGAGGATTTAGCATATACTTACGCTCCCTTTATTAGGTTCCACAAGAAGGTGAGTTCGTGCCGATGCTTCGGTTTTTCATAGTTGGTCGTTTGGAGAAAAATGCTTTTTTGGTGTTTTGTTTTTGTCGTTTGGTAGTTTCGGTGTTTCTGTTCGTGTGTAATTTGTGATGCGTTTTTTATGCGTTATATATGTACAAGAACACACACACACACACACGCACGCACGCACGCACGCACGCACGCACGCACGCACGCGCACGCACGCACACACGCACGCACACACACACACACATCACACACACACACACACACACACACACACACACACACCACACACACACACACATATATACACATTATAATATATATATATATATAATATATATATATATATATATATATATATATATATATATATATATATCATGCAATATGCACAATATATCATGAAATAACCTTAAAATAATACCAACCGTCAAAATGATAAATATAGCATATCTGTATACGTTGCATACAAAATCAAAAAGAATTTTCGCAGCACGAATATATCAATAATTCATATCATTTTCGCCATCATTGTGGATAATCTCAATACGATACATGGGCCTAATTAGAGGCATAATTACATTTGATGTAATTTTCGCTTCCATTAAGCTTCTCGACCAAATATTGTTTTGTCTTTTTATGGTGAAAAAATATTTTCCCTCCTCCAGATAATTACATCAACTATATATTTTTAAAACTGTATTATCATATTTCCCATATATGTTTATGCTGCTGTTAATCCTCGCCATCATCATTATTAGTATTCATATATCTTTAGTATTATCATCATCATTATTTTTTCATCTTTTTTGTTGTTATTGTTGTTGATGTTATTATTGTCATTATTGCTGCTGTTGTTATTATCATCTTTATTATTTATTACTATCATGATAATCATTATAACCCTTATCATTATCATTATTAACATTAAAATTCCATCACTTATAACAACCACAATCACAATCATATTCCCACCACGCCATCACCATGACACCTCACAACAACACCCACAACCCAAGTCCACAACACCGATACACCACCACCACCATTACCCCCTTCACTTCCCATCACAGGAGGGAGAAGAAGGCTTTTGCTTCCCCCATGATGCTGGGGAATACTACAACCACCGGGTAGCAGGGGACTGGTCGAGGCTATGCAACGAGGACTACCAGACTATCAAGAATAATGAGATACCGACTTACTGGCATGCTATGGAGTGCAGCGGACATTTGCATATTGGTTAGTGGGTGAGGCTAGGTCAGTAGCAACTCGAGGAAGTGTCATGGAGTATGTTTTGAGGATTGTTCGAAGAAGATTTAACCATTAAAGTCATTATTTTCCATCCTTTTTGAAAACTGAAAAGACCAATGCAGCGGACATTTGCATATTGGTTAGTGGGAGAGGCTGGGTCAGTAGCAACTCGAGGAGGTGTCATGGCGTCTGTTTTGAGGATTATTCGATGAAAATTTAACCATTAAAATCATTATTTTCCACCCCATTTGAAAACTGAAGAGACCAATGCAGCGGACATTTGCATATTGGTTAGTGGGAGAGGCTAGGTCAGTAGCAATTCGAGGAGGTGTCATGGCGTCTGTTTTGGCGATTGTTCGATGAAGATTTAACCATTAAAGTCATTGTTTTTCCATCCTTTTTGAAAACTGAAGAGACCAATGCAGCGGACATTTGCATATTGGTTAGTGGGAGAGGCTAGGTCAGTAGCAACTCGAGGTGTCATGTCGTCTGTTTGGATGAAAATTTAACCATTTAAGTAATTATTTTCCAGCCTTTTTGAAAACTGAAAAGACCAAAACGATCGACCATATTCACAAAGCATCCGTAACTTTTGTGACGTCATCAAAATAAACCCCATTTGTTTTTTTTCCATACAATAGAATCACACTCCATGACACCTCCTCAGGTTGCTGCTGATCGAGCCTTTCCCGTAATTGGTGGTTGAGGGAAGTACGTGTTGGTGGAAAGATGGATTGAAGGGGAATAAGGAATGGGGAGAGAATTGATGAATGGAAATAGGGATGAGGATGTTGAATGAGAGTTTGATGATGGTGAATGTGGGAGATAATGATGGAATGAGTAAGATATTAGGAATCTGAAGAAGACGGGATAAAAGGAGAGATTACAATAAGATAGAATAAAGATATTTCGATAAGATATATTAAAGAGATTACAGTAGAATAAATTAAAGAGATTGCAATAAGATAAATTTACGAGATTACAGTAAGATAAATAAAAGAGATTGCAATAAGATAGATACAATAGTATGACACGATTACGAGAGCAGAGAATGAATAATAGATAATAATAAAAGATAAATGTATAGATAGATGGATAAACCAATAAGATAGACGTAAATCAATTCAGTTAACTGCATTCTTGTTTCTAGGTTATAGATCTTGTACGGGAGAGAATATATGAAAAAGAAAAAAGTAAATTTCGAGACTTATTTATCTTTTAATTATGAAAAAAAGTAAATTTGAATTTTCGATTATTTATCATTCAATTATTGTTACTATTATTCATCCTTATCAACAGCGACTATGTTGAGCTGTTTCCTTTTCACTGTTGAAAATTGCTGACTGACTGATCATCAAAATGAAAATATTTGCAATCCCCTTTCCTATTCTTATGCCTATGCCTATTCCTATTCTTTTCTATTTCTATGCCTATTCTTATGCTTATTCATATTCCTATTTATATGCCTATTCCTACTCCAATGAATATATCCTATTCCTATCCTATTTCTATGCCTATTCCTATGCCCATTCCTATTTATATGCCTATTCCTATGAATATATCCTATTCTTATTCCTATACTTATTCTCGCCTATTTATATACCTATTCCTATTTCCTATTCCTATGAATATATCCTATTCTTATTCCTACACTTATTCCTCCTCCAATGCCCATTCCTCTTCCTATGCCTATTCCTATTCCTATGAATATATCCTATTCTTATTCCTACACTTATTCCTCCTCCAATGCCCATTCCTCTTCCTATGCCTATTCCTATTCCTATGATATATCCTATTCCCTGTATTCCCTCCTGCCTGGTTCCCATTCCTCTTCCTAATTTTATTCCTAGCCTACTGGTCCTTCTACGGCTACAACCACAACTGCGACTGCTGTTCTGGTGAGCGAGACGCCTGGTGGGAATTTGTTGTTGTGAAGGTGAGGTTTCTCTTGTTATGTTGAGATAGATGGATAGATGGATGGATGGAAGGATGGATGGGGAGAGGGGGAGGGGGAGGGGATGGGGGAGGGGTGGAGGGATGGGTAGAGGTAAAGGGGGGGAGGAGGGAGGGATGGGGAGATGGGGAGAGGGAGGAATGGGTGGAGGGAGGGCAGGGGGGAGGGATGGAGGGAGGGAGGGATGGGTGGATGGGTAGAGGGGGGGAGGGAGGGAGGGAGGGATGGGTGGATGGGTGGGGTAGACGGGGGAGGGAGGGAAGGTTGGTGTTGGAAGGAGGGAGGGAGGTAGGTGGGAATAATGGATGGATGCACGAGTGGATGGATGGATGAAGGGACAGAGAGGGGGAGGGAGGGATGAAGGGATGGATGGATAGATGGAGGGAGGGAGGTTAAGAGAAGGGGGAAGGATGGAATGGATGGATAAATAGATTACTATAGATAGATAGAATGGATGGATGGATATATGGATGGATAGATATATATAGATAGATAGAAGGATGAATGATTAAGATAGATACACAGACAGCCATACAGACAGACAGATACATACATACATACAATATGAATAGATATATAGATAGATAAGTAGAGAAATAGATGAACAATTAAAGAGACAGTCGATAGATAGATAGACATAGATAGACAAATAGATAGTGAGATAGGCAAATAGATAGACAGACAGATAGATAGACAAATAGATAGATAGACAATAGATAAACAAATAGATATAGATACCGATGGAGAGACAAACAGATAGACAAATAGATAGTAGATGAGGGATAGAGACAGATAGATAGATAGAGAAATAGATAGATAGATAGATAGACGATGGAGAGACAGATAGAACAAATAGATAGATAGATAGATAGACCGATGGATAAACAAACAGATAAATATATAGAGGGATAACAGACAAACGAACAAACAAAAATCACAAAACCCAAAACACGATACAACCCCTCCCCCATTCATAAAAAAAAATACTCAACCACCTCCCCTCTCCCCTCTCCCCCTCTCCCTCTTCCCCCTCTTCCCTCTTCCCCCAACCAGATCCGCCAATTCGACACTGAGTTCGCCCACCTGAGTGAGGTCATGTTCGGTCAGAAGGAGGGGTGGTACACACGCGTCTTCAGTCACTATGAGGTCTTCAACGCCACCCACCCCGTCGCCTATGTTGGGCGGGCGAGCCATGGGTTCTACCATGATGATGGAGGTTCAAATACGTGTTGTTATTTTGAGGATACGAGGAATCCAGGTTGGTTGAGTTGGTGTGTGGAAAGGGTGTTGTTGTTGTTGTTGCTATGATGATGATGATCATTATAAGTGTTGTTGCTATTATTAGTTTTGTTTGCGTGCTTATTTTCATCTCATTTTTTTTTTTTACTTTTTTCCTTTATTATTGTGTTTTTCTTCTTATTCTTTCTTAGAGTCTAATCTATTTTATTTTTCTTGCTTTCTTATATCATCCAGTTCTTTTGGGGGGTTGGTTTTTAGCTTATTTTTATCATTTAGCCCATTTTAGTTTTCTTTCTTTTTTTCTCTCCTTCTTCCTTATCTTATCACCTCACCCAGTGGTTCCCAGCCCTTTTCCCCCTGTGGCCCCCGACCAATATGCGATTATCTTCCTGGCCCCGATTAGTGACTGTCATCTTTTTAGGTTCAGTAATTACTTGTTATGAATAGTTTAATGGTGTTAATAGCTATAGGACAAGAGCACTTAATGAAAAGATTGTAGTCTATTGGTATGGGAAAAATAATTATACATAGGTAATGCAGGTGAGATAAAATTCAATTCAATTCGACGACAAAGTTTTCATATTACTCCATGGCCCTTTAAAAAGTACACTGTGGCCCCAGGATGGGAACCCCTGACCTAATCCATTCTAATTTCTTCCTTCTTCCTTTTTCCCTTCTTATCATCTACCCCATTTTTTCCTCTCCAGTCTTTTTTATAATCTCACCTATTTCAACTTTTTTCCCTTCTTTCATTCTTTCTTTCTTACTTATCATCTAACCCATTTTCCTTTTCCATAATCTCTTTCTCCCATTCTTATCAACTAACCTCTTTTACTTTCTCATCCTTTTTCTCTTTTTCTTGCCACCTAACCCCTTTCGCGTTCTCTTCCCTACTCTCTCTTTTTATTCCTATCGCCTAATTCATTTGACTCGCTCTTCTACCTCTCTCTCTCTCTTTCTCTCTCTCTCTCTCTCTCTCTCTCTCTCTCTCTCTCTCTCTCTCTCTCTCTCTCTCTCTCTCTCTCTCTCTCTCTCTCTCTCTCTCCTCCCTCCCCTCCCTCCTCCTCCCTCCCCTCCCTCCCTCCCTCCCTCCCTCCCTCCCTCCCCTCCCTCCCTCCCTCCCCCCTCTCCCTCCCTCCCTTCCACCTTCCCTCCCTCCCCTCCCTCCTCTCCCTCCCTTTCCCTAC